GGATGCCATTGCTAAGCTTTGGAATTCTCCAGCTTGGGGGGAGGCCGTAAGTGGGGTCGGGACGGGTCCGAACAGCCTGCCTTCCACCTCGCCTCCTGCCTTCAACTGCACAACTCCCCACCCCGCACGTTGAAACTCAGGAACAATGTGTCTGCTACAGCTCCCGTCAATGAAAATGCTCCCCTGGAAATCGGCATCCGTTCTGTTTTCGTCGGCCCACTTCATGTCGGACGTCCCAGCCTTCGCTGGTCGGGGGTGCTTATCTCCAGGGTGCTCGAACAAACCTCGACTGTACAAGAACTGCTCGACTGGCCCTTCCGCAGCAAGAGCCTGGTTAATGTCAGACTGTTCAACAATTTCTAGCCGCTGGTCCTGGCAACTTGAACATTCCCACAGCCGGTGGAGCTCCGAGTCGTCGCATCCCTGGCAAAGCGCACACTTAGTGGACAGGACTTGATACCCGCAATCCTTCGCGCGACTCGGAGCCCAGATCGCACCGCAGACCAGCGATTTCATACATCCGCGCCCGAGCGGAGTCGATCGCTTAGACCGGATCTTCGCTCGAGGCACGTCGAAGCACAACCGGGGGAAATCCATATTCGCTTTACTACTCGCGTCGCGCTCTAGAGACCTAAGCACGGCGCAGAACAGCATGCCCTTGATGAGTGAGGGAGAGACAAACGTCAGAACCACCTCCTCCTCGAAATCATTCCCCAACGTAGCAAAATCCTTCATGTCCCACGATATCCTCCTAAGCGAAAGCTTGAGGGCCGACAGCGGGCCCTCGACCTTTTTCCAATCCTTCACATCCTCCCCCTGGTACCCTATCTCCCACGCCGTCCTCAACTCCTGGAACGTGAAGCTGTACGGGTACGAGCGGGTGTGAGCAGCCCGGATCTCCTTCGAATATCGAAGAATCGGGGCCACTTCGCATCTCCAGGGGACATCCTCCAGAATCATGAGCGAGGTGAGAGATCGGCCAGCAGCCTGCGGGCGGAGGACCTTGCCTGCCGACTGCCTGATTAAATGAGCTTCTCGATCGGAGATACCGTGAACTGCTGCTCCATACTCGATGCAGGGCAGCGTGCCAGAAACGAAAATCCTTTTAGCGTACCTGCCCAAGGTCTGCCCGATCCTCCTGAGTTTTCTGGTCTGAATCTTGAACTTATGTAACCTGATCGTGAACTTTTTGGCTCTGTTTCGGGTCCTTCGAGGCCTCCCCACCGTGTCGCCGATCCCCAAATTTGTAGTACTCTCAACAACTGGGTCAGCAAGCTCTCCTACAAATTCCTTGAGCTCGTGAGCCACATGCTTGTCGGAGCAGACGAAATTGACTTTGTCTCTAGAAACTTCGCAGCCTAATTCCGTGACGAACATTTGGTAGAGGGCAGCCGAGGACTCCTTGATATTCCTTACGACCTCCTTCGCTTTGCCTACGCTGTTCAGCCCTGTGTCGTCAATATACTGGTCTATGTTCACTGAGGCTGGGAGTCTGGAGATCAGCTTATCGTATGGGCCTATCATGTAGATCCTGACGAAGGTGGTCGCGAAACTACATCCTACAATGACTCCTAGTAGAGCGAAGTGAGGTCCAGATACCATGGACGAGATGCAAAGGTATCGAGCGCTGCGATGTGTGTTGACGCACAGCTGGGCGATGGCCATGGGGAACCCGAAAACCTTGCACTGGTCCAGGAGCCGATAAAACTGGAATGTCTCGTAGAATTTCGTCATATCCCAGAGTAGCGTCGCATATGCGTCTCCTCTGGAGGTACCTACTTCAGATCGCATGGGCCTGGCGCCATACGACGTCGCAGGCGGCAGCAAACTTAGATCCTGCGGAGAATGGTATCATGTGTGACATGTCCCATTGTTGGGCGTAGACCCTTCTGCAACGTCCCCAAAGCCTAAAAGGGGAAACAAACAACCCGATCGGACGCCAACCCCCCGTGGGCTTCATAAGGAGGGCCACCTGGATCACACGTATTTGCGAAGGCAGCGTGGACAGGATTTCGACCAGGGAAAACAGGAGGGACACCACTGAGAGGGCTTCGTCAGTGAGCCAATTGTAATGCTTCATGTGAAACCCATCCACACCCTGGGCCGAGCGGACAGGGTACCTGGACGAGACTCCTCTTATGAAGGCTGGCTCCAGCCGCGGGAAGGCTTCTTGCACCCCTTGGAAACCACGGTCCAGGAGGGGGGTGGCAGTGGCTTTCCACAAGCCGCTGAATCGCTCGGATTCCATGCGCAGAAGGGCCAACGGGTCGGAGATAACTAGGCCTCCAGCGCATAAAGGAGGAGGGGGAGGAGGAGGAGGAGGAGGAGGGGAGGGGGAGGAGGAGAAGGGGGAGGAGGAGGAGGAGGAGGAGGAGGAGGAGGAGGAGGAGGAGGGGGAGGAGGAGGAGGAGGAGGAGGAGGAGGAGGAGGAGGAGGAGGGGGAGAAGGGGGAGGAGGGATCGACTCCGAGGGGTCGAGGCTCGAGAGCCCCATGGCACCCCCTGAGCCTCACGGGAGGGAGGAGGGGGGGCACTCTGAGAGGCCTCGAGGGCAGGGGCCCAGGGGGCACACGAGTGAATAGACACAGGTCCGAGGACGCCGATGCCGCGGGAGACATCAGAAGCAGGATGCCCCAAGAATCGTTCAGGACGCCCCGCGAGGCCCGAAGAGGTCGGGGGCGCCTGGAAGGGTTTCGGGGGGTCCAAGGGGAGGCCTGCGGGGCACCAGGAGGCCCCATGGAGGCCCCTGGAGGCCCCTAGGAAGGCGCTCCGCCCCGAAAGCCAAGCGCGCAACGAGGCGAAGACTGGGCTCTTGGCGTGGCCCTTGGCGTAGTTTCTACTGTCTAAGCACATCTATACCACATCAAAACAATATTCGGTGATAGCGGGCGTCATAAAATAGGAGCGAAGGTGGGCGGGGGGGGGGGGGGGGCGACGCAACGTTCCCTCCCCGGCCGTGTGGCTCCGGGACCGCAGCCGCGCCCGCGCGCACGACGACGACGAGCGACGAGCGACGAGCGACGACGACGAGGGGAGTAGGTAAAATGGTAGCGCATCCGCGTGCGCCGCAGCGCCTGCGTGCACGAGCCACGACAAGGGGCCACAAGTCAGGACCAGTTGAACACCATCTGCGTGCACCGCAATGCCTGTGCGCATCACAAGGCCTGCGTGCACCTCTGGGACCCTATGGGGTCACGACGGGGCCAAGTGCAAGAAAATCGTGGGGGCGGCCGTTATGATCAAATTCTAAATGCGAATTGATTGTGATTCTTGTTTTTTCGTGCCCTGCGTACACTCCTGCACTCTGAACCCACGACGCCCGTGCACGTCATGACCACTGTGCGCACCACAGCGCCCGTGAAAAGAAATGGCGAAGAATGGGGAGCGCAGGCAATGGTAGCGCTTCTGCTTGCACCACAGCGCGTGTGCGCACGAGCCACGACCAGAGGCAGCCTGCTGGGCGGCCCGGCTGCGCGCCACAACCAGTCCATGGCTGTCGGCGCGCAACCGGGCCGCCCAACAGGCTGCCTCTGCCGCCCCTTGGCGCCGAAACGGCTCGACCGAAACATGGCGATGCGGAGGACGAGGGGGAGGAGGAAAAAGGGGGAGGAGGAAAAAGGGGGAGGAGGAAAAAGGGAGGAGGAGGAGGAGGAGGAAAAGAGGAAGAGGAGAGGGAGGAGGAAAAGGAGGAGGAAGAGTTTTCACTGGGAAAATAAAAAATCACAATGTCGGATCCCTTTGCGCATTCCAGTGCGGGTCCCTATGCGAAACCCGATGCGGATCCTTAGGCGGATCCCTATGTGGATCCCTGCGATGATCCCTGTGCGGATGCTTATGCGGATCCCGATGCGGATTCTGATGCGCATGCCTACGTATGCGGATGCTCATGCGCATTGCCATGCGGATCCCTATGCGATACCCTATGCGGATCCTTACGCGGGTCCTTCTGCGGATCCCTATGCGGATGCGCATGCGCATCACTATGCGGATCCCCATGATATTCCCAATGCGGACCAGACGCCTATGCGGATTCCTATGCGGACGCCTATGCGGATCCCAATGCGCACGGCGGCAGTGCCAGGAACGCACTGGGGGGGGGCCGTTATACGTCATAGGAGGGGGGGGGGGCGGGTGCTCTAACGCCCCTATGCCCCAAGCAAAAAAGAAACACGCTCGTAATGGCTTTTCGGGGAAGGGCGGCCGCGCTCGGCTCAGCAACGGCTGCGGAAGCCCCATCAATAGAAACGGCTGCCCCAAGCTTGCCCCGCCGGCGGGAGGAGCAGAGTCAGCACGGCGTCGCTCGGATGCCATCTTCTTCTGCTCTCCATGGGCCTGTCGGGAGGCGTAGCACCCTTGCTTTGTTGGGGAGAGGAGTTAGTTTTTGGCCATAACGCCCATAAACTGTCCCGACTCCTCCTTCTGTTTCTGACATCAGCCTCGTCCCCGATGTCGAAGAGAAACTCGCTGGCGGACCCGTCCAGGAGGGCTGTGAAACTAACCTTGCCGTCTGTGGCTGGGCGGGTTGGTGACGGTGGTCAGGCACTCCTTCGCGAGGGCGGTCCTGTCTTCTTCCCCCGTCGTCTCGAGCTCAGCCATTAACATGCTCCACCAACTCAGTCTGCTTAGCCTACTGCAACTGAGCTCGAAGTTCTTCCGGGTGCCAGTGGTGTGCGTGAGTTGCCGATGGGCAGGAGCAGCCTTACGCTGGGCTTGCGCATCGCGCTGCCGGACTGTCCTCCTCCTCCTCCTCCTGCGCCTCCCCCTCCTCCTCCTCCTCCTCCTCCTCCCCCTCCTCCTCCTCCTCCTCCTCCTCCTCCTCCTCCTCCTCCTCCTCCTCCTCCCCTTTCCCCTCCCCCTCAACCTCGCCCTCCTCATCATTTTCCCCTCCCCTCCCTGTCCTCACCCCTCGACGCGCCGTGCTGGCAGCCGCGCGGGGTGTCCTGGCCGCATGGGCTGCGAGGGGTGCCCTGCTTGTAGCCGCGCGGGGTCTCCTTCGAGCACTCAGAGGACGCATTCTCCTCGGGGGGCTCGAGGAAGAGAAGGCGGTGTCTTGAGGAGGCAGCCGGGGTTCAAGGAGGAGGAGAGGAGAAGGGAGAAATGGGGGAGGAGGAAGAGCGAGGAGGAAGGAGGGGGAGCAGGGAGTAAGGAGGAAAGGGAATGAGGGAGCAGGCAGGGAGGAGGGAGGAGGAACGATGATCGAGGGAACTTCGAGGATCCAGAATTCGGGCGTTTGCTAGCCTAGGAACGATGATCGAGGAACTTCGAGGATCCAGAATTCGGGCGTTTGCTAGCCTTTTGGGCCTCTCGTTGCCACGGCAGGCTGCCCCATCGTAATACTACTCGGAACGAACCCGTGGAGAGGTCCTTGGAGAGATTTTGCTGGGGGGGGAGGGGGGAGGATGAGGATTGGGAGGGTGAAGGTGGAGAAGCCTCCATCCCGCCCTCCCTCCAACGGCCCGCGAGATCGTCGCATTCGCTGGTCCCCTCGAGGGTCAAGCGGGCGCGAAACTCTCCCGTCCTAAACGCCACGGCGTCGGCGATGCCGACGGGTCACCGTGATTTGGGGGTCCCGAAACGGTGCGGTGAGGCACCGAGCGGTGACCCCAGGATTTTTCTGGCCAGGCAAGGTTTCATTCAAGGCCCCTCCAGAAGGGTCGGCGGCGGGGTTCGCGCGAATCCCATCCTGCGCCCACGAACGACAAGGGGATCCACAGCAAATCAGGAAGTCCCGAACCAATATGCTACCACTGGTGCTGCAATACCTCGCCCTCTGCTGTAGTGGCGGCTACACCCTGAAAGCCCACCGCGGCACCTGCGCGAGAAAAACATAACCGCTCCAAAATGCTAGCGGCACTGAGCTGCCGATTTTTCCGTGGACGCACGCAACCGAACATTGCAACGAAAAGGTGGCCACGAACCTATTGCGCCACGGCATGCGCGGCGCCGGTCACAGGGGGACGAAGGCTCGAATGGCGAAATTATGCACCTCATGCTGCGATCTTGCGTTTAGCGTCCCTCGCCCTGACCTCGCGCAAACGCCACCCGGCGGATGCCAACCCCTGCGCGGCGAACGCCGCACCTGCAACGCGGCGTATTCAACATGTTGGAGCATATAAGAATGCCGTCGGGGGGCCGCGCCGTCTGGTAGCTCCCGTCGGGGGGCCGCGCCGTGCTGACCCGACTCCGGCCCAAAGGGGGTCAACGACGCGGAGCGCGGCAGCGGTTAGCGACCGTGATGGGCGAGGCGGGCACTGGCCAAGACGGGGGCCGGGACAGGGCGGCCACGAAATCCCGGAAATGTCACCGCACCGTTTTGGGACCGGGGGTCACCGCACGGTCTTGTGACTCGTCAACAAAACCGGGCGGTGACCTCTTTCAATTTTTCTTCGGGATTCCGTGCTGGCGGAACCAGAGGTGCGGAGCAAACTCCTACGGCGGCCTAGGGTCACCTCCAAGGAGGTGGCGGGGCCAAAGGGGGCGACTGAGCGACCGACTGGGCGCGCCACGACGGGGGCATGCGCCCTCGTGGGGCATGCGCCTCGTCGAGTTGCCCTTCTGGCCACCGCCGTTGCCATTCTATGCTGCTCGCTCTGCTCTTAGGAGGGGGAGGGCGCTGAAGTGGAGGAAACCGGACGAGGTGGAGGAGAGAGGGGGAGAGGAGGGACGGGAAGGGGGGGGAAAGGAAGGAGGAGAGAGGGATAGAGGAGGAGAGGGGGGACGAGGGAGATAAAGAACATGAGAGCTTTGCTTGCTCTGCGAACCTACGTTGCATCCAACCGCCGAGCGGAGGGCGCCCCAGGATGAGCGCCAGAGTGCTCTCACAACGCACGCCAGCATACCCGCAGCGGTCTCATCCAAGATGTCGCCACACTACTGCATCAAAAACCGAAAAAGACAAAACCATGCGCGCAGGTCGGGCGACAATCTCGCGCGTTAAGCAATGCGCCGCGGCCCAGACAAAACGCGCGTGCGGGGCCAAGCGCAAAGTGCCTGAGCCCCGCGCTACGTGCGACCACTGGGGCCCAAGCTGCGCGAACGACTGAACCATCCAGCGCGCGCCAAACTCACTGCACCGTGCTCTCACGGCACCGTTTTGGGACTTCCAAGTGATCTCGGCCCCCGTGCCGAGGCAGGCCACGGTGTTCCTCGCCCAGAGGCCTGTCGCAACGCTCCCCCAACAATTCCAAATGGTGTTCCAAACGCGCCTCAAGGTCGGCATGCGTCGCCTGGGCCAAAATCTCCATGAATCGGAAACGCCTCCAAGCCCAAGAACCCAAACGTGACCACAAAACCGACCCCCTGGCCACCCGGAAATCATCCCGGCCCCTGCTGCAGGGGCCGGCAACGGGGAACTGCACTGGCGCAGTCCACGAAGAGGCCCGTAGCCAACAACCAAAACGCCAGCGTTGGAGGGTATTACGGTGTCCTCGCCATGGGGGTGGGGGAGGGGGAAAAGGGGAGGGGGAGGGGGCGGAGGGGAAGGAGGGGGAGGGGGAGGAGGGGGAGGAGGAGAAGGAGGAGGAGGAGGAGGAGGAGGAGGAGGAGGAGGAGCAGGATCCGAATCACTGCCAGGGGCACGGTGCCACCATCGTTGGGCCCTGTGCAGCAGCCTCTGGATGGCCGGGGCCATCGCCCCAGGCCATCTTCACTCTCACCCGGCCCGGTGGACGCCAGGGAGGTCCCCTGCGAACGCCAAGCCAGCTGCCGAGACAGTATCCCCATCTAAAAAATACCGCAGTTGTAGGTACCGTCTTCGGGTGGAGCCGCCTTATAGGGCCACGAAGCGTTGTGCCGGGCGGGGGAGACGCATGCGGGCTGCGCCCCGGGGACCTTCGGTGGAGTTCCCTCATGGGGCCACGAAGCGCTGTACAGGGCGGGGGAGACGCATGCGGACTGCGCAGTGGGACCGTCGGTGGAGCCCCCTATGGGGCCACGTAGCGCTGTTCTCGGTGTGGGAGACGCATGCGGGCTGCGCCCCTGGGACTGTAGTTGGAGCTCCCAAAGGGCCACGAGGATGTACTGGGTGTGCGAAACGCATGCGGGCTGCGCCAGTGGGACCTTCGGTGGACTTCCCTGTGGGGCCACGAAGCGCTGTACTGCGTGTGGGAGACGCACGAGGGTGCGGTCGTAGTCGACAGACTCGGTGGTGCGGTCGGCGGTTCATCTGAAACTCCCACTGTGAAGATTTCAATAGTTGAAATAGCTCTGCCGTGGTCGAATTCTTCAAAGCCCCGATGGCTTGCGATGCCGCCGACGTGGGATTATCCTGGACACCCATCATCGAAGAATCTGTCGCTTGATCCCCTGAAACTCTAATCGCCATCGGAACAAGAGGCCCTGAAACTCCAGTCGTTTCAAGAAGCTGCGCCACCCACTCCTGAATCTCCCCCTCCATGTGCGTGGCCAGACAGCCCGCGAGCGCTCCGAGACGGCCCGAGAAGCGCCCGAAACGGCCCGAGAGCGCCCCAAGACGGACCCTAAATAGGCCCAAGAGCGGGAACACGAACCGAAAATCCGAACCTTCCGCCCCAAGAGGCGCCCAGGAGGCCCCAAGCCCCGGGAGGCCCCCGAGAGTTTCAAACATGTTCCCAGGCTCCAGAGCGGCCCCCAAGAATCAACGCTGCCCCGAGTCCCCCCGGCTCCCCTGCCGAGATCCCAGAGAACATCCAATGAGCTTCATGCCCGTGACCCAGGCGCGGCGGCGACGTGGGCCGAGAGCCGTTCGATCCGCCGCCCCCTGCTGGCTTGCCACAGGCGTGCCCGGCGTAGCGGACGCTCCCCAAGCTTCTCGGTGCTTCAAGAACGCCCCCTGTCTGCCGGCCGCCTGCCCCCGTCGGCGCGGTGCGCCGGCTGCCTGTCTCGTCGGCGTCTTCGCTTCGGATGGCTCCTCGTTGGGTTCCGAGGAAGCCGAGATGGCCGAGACGGCCGAGACGCCCCCGATGGGGGCCCCGGATGGCTCGATGACGCACCCAAGACGGCCCGCGACGCGCCCCAGGCGGCCCAAGGCGGCCCCGAGATTGCCCGAGACGGCCTCGGGGGCCCCAAGGCCTCCAAGGCAATCCAAACGGCATCCCAAAGGGCCCGCACCAGGAATTCCTAGTGGTTTTGATTGGTTGTTTCGCATCTGCTTCGCAGCGCCCTCCCGACGGTCCCAAACGGCCCCATGGCCCCAGACATCGCTCCAAGATCGCCCGGCGCCCCGGGAGGCGCCCAATACAGCCCCGAACAGGCCCCGCGACGGCCCGAGAGTGGCCTCCGAGGCGCCCGAGATGGCCGCCACGGCGGCCCTGGAACGCCCCGAAGAGGGCCCCCAGACGGCCCGGCGAGGACCCCACGACGGCGCCCAACGGCGCCAGGCGGGCCAGGAAGGCCTCAAGACGGACGCAGAGGCACGAGAGAAGCTCCCAGAAGCCCCCGAAAGGTCCAAGGAGGCCCCCGAGGAGCCCCCGAGCAGCTGCCGAAAGGCCCCTAACAACCCCAGGGAGCATTTGAGACCCCCCGCCCTATTGGTGAAACGATGACGCTTCCGGCACCATGGAAGCGTTGCCTCGGCACCAGAGGCGCCCCCTGGATTCCAATGGGGTCCGCATCGGCTCCTCATGTGATGCAATGAGATCCCCGTTCGTCGTCTTCGTCGTCGTTGTCGTCGTCGTCGTCGTCGCCGCCGCCGCCACCGTCGTCTTCGTCGGCGTCGGCGTCGTGGAATCCGATTGGAGATCCGATTATATTTTAATCCTGCTGGAATCCTATAGGAATCATACTGTATTGGAATCCGATTGGTATCCGATTGGGATCCTGATGAAATTCCCGCTGCACTGGAATCCTATTCAAATAGGATCCCAACAGGACCCCACAAGTAATCCAATACAATAGGATCCCACCAGGATTCCAACAAGGCCCTAAGTGGATCCAAATAAGATCCCAGTACGATGCAATACAATATGGCACCAATCGGACTCCAATCATATCCCAATACGATTTCAATCGGAATCCAATGTGACTCCTATACTTCCGC